TAGTTTGCATTCTGCAACTACAACTCCTTTTTGTTACATTAGTTAAAGTGAATCTGTCATGTACCTCATTAGGGAGCCTGACGCGTAGAGGAAGACCTTTCGTACAGCTCCAGCTCAGGGGCCACTGAAGGTGGAACAGCAACCACGAGAGTATGGCGGTGTATGAGTGCCTGATCAGTCCAGTAGTCTGCAGAGGAATACCTGACGACTTGCTGAATGGATACCAGGAGTGAAGTAGCGGGCTGTAGGCAGACGTCACTGTGAAGCAGGCTGGCTGACAGCAGGCTGGTAGCAGGCAGGCTGACAGCAGGCAGATGACACAGCGGAGCAGGCTGGTAGCAGGCAGGCTGACAGCAGGCTGATTACACAGTGGAGCCGGCTGGTAGCAGGTGAAGCTGGATCCAGGGTCGGATGGGCTGGGTCGGTAACAGGCAGGCAGGTAAGCATAAATGGCAGGCAGAAGGGTCAGGTCACAGGCCAATGTCAGCAGCAGAGATGCAGATCAGGCAGATACCGTAGGCAGAGACAGCTTCCGAGAAACAAGCCGAGGTCAGTGCAAGTAGCGTTCAACCGAGGTCAGGATAAGCTGGGTCAATCAGGAGTATCAATACAGGGACGGATACAGGAACACAGGGAGAGCTTCAGATCAGACAGCAATTCACTAGTGTAGCTGCTGCACCTATATAGGCCAATAGGTGCCAGAATTAGTCAATGCGCATTTCTGTGCACACACGCCTGCATATGCGCACACACAACAGTACGAGCACCTGCTGGCCCACGCCTGCGCATTCGCTTGCAGCTACGAGCCTCAGCTATGCCATGGCCAACATGTCCCTGACAGAATCTTTGAATGAGAAATATACGGGGGCTGCCATTGCAGACCTACTTAACCTCCCTGGCGGTATTCCCAAGTTTAGCTCGGGGTAAAGTTTCAGTACCAAAAGCGGTAACCCCAAGCTACACTCGGTAATACCCTGCAGCGTTGCTCAGGGATTCCCTGCAGCACTTACCTTGTCCTGCGCTCCCGCGATGTGTCACCTGCAGCGTCCCCGGCCATCTCCTCTGGCCGAAGCCAACATCCGTCTTCTGGGTTCCGGTCCCTGTGAGTGTCGGGACATATGGGGGACGGAACCGGCAGGAGATATGAAAATTTTAAAAACTGACATTCACAAAATACACTAACATAGTAAAACCTAACTGTTTCAAACCATTTCACATACATTTTGTCCCGAGTGCTTTCTGCCTGGAAACTGTGAAAAGTCCATGGCGTACAAAAAGCGTCCCTTTAGGTCAAAAGCAGTTTCAGACCAGCTAGAGAACAGTGATAGTAAATTAGAACCACTTGCAGAATTGAGTGATAATGATTTGTGGGGAAATTCATCATCAGACACTGAAAACGATTCTGCAACTGAGCTCAGCGATGTGCGAACTTGGCGCTATATTTCAAATTTCAGTGTTTTTGGTTTGATTATATTATTGAATTAAATTTATTATTATTATATTATTATTTCTTATGATTATTTATTATATTATAATTTATGATTTCTTGTTTCAAGTTTTATTATACCCGGGATGTTTACTAGACTCGGACTAGTTCGGACAGATTTCAGTGAGTTATTCCTAAAAATTATAGGCCTACAATAAAAAAACAACATATTTCCATCAAAAAAATGTACCGCTTTCAGCACAGAAATATGGACATAATCAGACCGCTAGGGAGGTTAAAAAGGCTGTATGTGACTTTAGTTTGTTTCAGTGACAGTCCCGGAAAAAGCATGCTGTAAATAAGTGTCAGAAAAGTGTCTCTCAATCCATGCCAGCAACTCAGACAGCATTGAATTCAAAGTGCATATCAGAATGACAGCCAGGGAACTAATATGCTTAGAGAGAGTCCAGTCTTGGCAACCTCCATAAATCTCTCATGATAGTGTACATACAATATATGTTCTGTTACAAGAATTTTAATAATGCACAGATATTGAAAACATTTTACAAAGCATTTAGCTAATTAAAAAAAAATAGCTTCCCCACTATCCACACAATAAAATTTTCTAGATTTTGTAACCTGAACATAGTCCCTGGGTTGCAGTTCTAAATGAAGCTAGTTTATCATTGATGTAAACCGTGGTACAAGGGAGCAATCTGAAAGAGGCTTTCAGCTACTGTGATCACATGATGCTGAGCTTTTCATTACTCTGCCATCAGATACAATGTACAGAGCATTTTTGCACTGGTGTATCTACTGTACTGTACTGAGCGATTCTTCTCTTTTCTGTGACTGGCAGTATCAAGGCACAAAAACACTTGTTAGAGTCACGAATTATGGATTATAACATCTTTGTTTCAGTTAATGAGTTAATCAATCTGCTAATGAGTTGTTACATGTAGTAGCTGCCACTTAGCAATGGCAGAGAAATGGCTCTTTCTGGCTCTGTTAATCCAGATCAGCCTGGGAATTCTACGAACAAGGATGAGATTGACCCCAAACAAGGATTGAATGGGTCGCCCAAACAACACAACACCTGGACTGAGGTTGGTGAGTAACATACTCTTTATGGTCTCTGTTTTATACTAAAACAATGTCTTCAGAATTTAATTAATATTTTAATGGGACTCTGCTGCTTGAAATCTAATCAAGTTAATGACTGAGTAAATATTTCATCATTTTTATTGTTTTCTGTACATACACGTTTGTATGACCTTTTAATATATGTAATAATATTATATTTTATATACATTTTGTGTAATCCTTATCTTTCCAGCATAGTTCGGTTTAGATTTTTTTTCTTTTTTGTATAAATATTTAATCACATCTGTAATTAGATTCTTTTTGTTCTAACTTATATTGCCTAAAAATAGCTCTATATGTTTATATGACGCAGTCTTGAATGTTTTTGACAATTTTGAAAGTGTAACACCTTTGAAACAAATGTCTAAATATTCTCACTAAAAAGCTGTACGTTAATTGAAGAAAAAAGTACTTTTTGAAGACAACAGTTTAATCAATTAGGGCCATGAGCTGTCCAGTGTAGTATATGTCAGTCAGGAATAATTTACTTATACCAGACCAATAAAATATGTATTTTACATGATTGCTGTACATTGCCTCATAAAACAAGGCACTAACATGTTTATTCAGAGCTCTTAATTGTTAAATGCCACATTCCTGAATTTGTTAAATAAATCCCCCTAGCCCTCCTCAGTACAGTACTGTGACAACCCTCCCTCTTGCAGGTCCTTAAAATGGTCATACAAATCTGGCCAATTCTTGCCATTGGCCAATTCCTGCTGCCCCTCCCTATCAGTACCAACCAAATTGGCAAACTTTGTTTGAAAAATTGAAGGAGTTCGGTAGAAAATTGACAGATAAACAGTGATTTCATCCTATCAGATGTAGTTAATGTTTAGATATTCAAGCTGTTTGTGTCATGGCTACTTGAATACAATAACTGGCAGCAGAGGTACCTCCATCAATTCTGTTTAGCATGAAAGTAAGAATCTATTTAATTTTCTCTTGGTCAGGCCACAATCTGAACAAGAGAAATCTATGTGTATGGTTAGCCTTACCTCCTCTGGCAGCTGCAGTCCAGGCCAGTGGAAATCCACTTCCGGGCTGTCTGTACACTTGTGTCTCTTGGACTTGAATGGGACATACCCATACTGCAGGAGCTACGTCCATTTAAGTTTAAACATTAATGCACAGGCATGGGAAGCCCATCATGAAACTTTTACCGGAAGGGCTGAAAACAGCACAGAAGGCCACAGCCGTCAGGGAACCTTTACCGGATCTGCTGAAGACACCACAGAAGGCCAGAGCCGTCATGAAACTTTCACTGAATCTGCTGAAGACACCACAAAAGGCCACAGCCATCAGGAAATATATATCAGATGAGCTGAAGACAGCACAGTAGGACACAGCTGTCATTAAACTTTTACTGGATGGGCTGAAGACTGCATAGAAGGCCATAGCAACTTTAAACTTTTACTGGATGGGCTGAAGACAGCACAGAAGGCCACAGCAACTTGAAACTTTTACTGGATGGGCTGAAGACAGCATAGAAGGCCACAGCAACTTTAAACTTTTTTACTGGATGGGCTGAAGACAGCATAGAAAACCTCAACCATCATTAAACTTTTACTGGATGAGCTGAAGGTAGCACAGGAGGCCACAGCTGTCAGAGGAGGTAGATAATGACCTATGAAGAAGATCTAGGGAGGGGAGTTAGGGGAAATTTAGAAAAAATTGTGAGAATATCCTTCAGGTACACAACCAAAGTTCACTTTGCCAAAGTTAGACCAGTACAAGATTGGATTCTGAGTGGGTGTTATGGGGTACTGCCCCTAGGAATTGACTTAAAAATGAATAAAGCTTTCGTGAATAAAGTAATAAATGTTTCAGTTTATAATGTTATGAGTGTTTTATAAGCTAAGTGTATAAGTTGTAAATCAATTTAAAAAAGTCTCATGGTGAAGGTAAACATGTTTGTAAATTGTTGTATGAAATAGCACTTTTTAAAATAATTATTTAAATATATAGGACATTCAGATCATTTTTTGTAAACTCATGAATGAGGAAAAGTGAGGGAGAAGTTGTTTGATATCATCTTTCATATACAAAAAACTTTGATTTGAATAATAGTCAAGAGAAGTCTGAGCTAACAGCTTTCTAAGAATATTAAAGAAAGTCAGTCATTGTTTGTCCCCCCAAATATATCAGCCTGCTGCACTCACCTTAGAATTCTGTTGGTTTTTCTGCTGACTGAGTTTGCTGGGTGATGTAGAGCTGACCACATGTACTATGCTTTGTTTTGCCTTTTTTTTGTCCGGAGAGTGAAAATTGATTGGGGCCTAGAGATAAAAGAGAAATGTGCAGTGACAAGAGTTTTTTACAGCAAGGGTCATGAGAGAGCAATAACAGTGAACGAGGTCCAGTGTTAGCAAATTGGCAATGAGAGACATGAATTACTCCAGATTTTCACCAAGATAACATTTTGCAAGAGATGTCTTTAAATTATATCAAGAACTTCTATGAAGGATGTGTGAGTATCCAGAAAGGCGTTAGCATTCTTAGAAATGCATAATAGTAAAGGTATGAATCATTGCAACAGTGTCTGTCCACTCTGTGGTAACAAGTACTTTAATTACATCTGGAAAACGTGGTCTGTATTCTTTATAATCATTGTAGGCACTCGGCAATATTAATTAGTCATTTCTAAAAGGCTGTAGGCTTTCCTAGGAGGGCCAGATAGCATAGCTCTTGGATTTAGGCAGATGTGTTAATGTCCATTTGTTAGGTTTTTGCTCGCAACTAGTTAAATAATGTTGTGCTTGGTTTCTGTATGTGAAAGCTTTCAGTACAATTCCAAAATCATCGGAAAACGCCCCCTTCAGTTATTTATTTGCTAGCATGTATCGGGAGCATTCTATCATCTGTATATTGGATAACAAAGGACAAATCTGTGTACTGTTTTCCTGCTGACCTTTCTGTGATATAATACAATGAGCAATGGAGGTCTCGAGAGCTGGGTTGGTTAGAAAGGCATTCTGTTGTATTTTTTTTTAGTGATGACAGTAGTCTCTTTTTGAGGCAGTTGTGTGCTGAATGTAGTCTACGTGTGGGTCTTTTTTTGTCTGTGGCATAATTGCTCTGCAAAGAAGAAAACAGAAATAATATGTGATCAATGAGGAATGTATGTAAGTTATATTCATTTTAATAAATATGAACATTTAGCAAATATGTCCTAACTGTAAAATGAAAGCTCATAAGGTTTATGTGTTTTTCTTTTTATTCTTAAAGCTCAGACCTCCCACGGTGATTGGTCAGTTCCATACCCTTTTCTTTGGTTCTGTGCGAATGTTTTTCCTTGGTGTCCTGGGTTTTGCTGTTTACGGAAATGAGGCCTTACATTTCAGCTGTGAACCTGACAAAAGGGAGGTGAACCTCTTCTGTTATAACCAGTTTCGACCGATAACTCCTCAGGTGAGGCAAAAATGGAATGCACTTCAAGGAACTAATAGGATATGACTACTCAAAGGCTTAGTGGACTATTATTGTTTGTGGCATGAACAATATTCTTTATTTCTTGGTAAATATCTATGCAACAATCCAATAATTTTAATGTTCACTCCCTTGCTACCATCCGTGTTCTTTACTTTGATGAGGCAGTAAAAAGGACTTAATAATCTAGAACATTATTACATTTCTGGGGTGTGACAAAACCGGTTAAAACTTACTTGAAAAAAAAATGTATACACACATATTTCATGCAAAAGGATCAATTATATTTAAATTTTAGCCAACTTTAATGATATAAGTACAATTAATATCTAACTATAACATGGTTAAATAGATACTATTTAATACCATTTTGAAAATTGTAACTATAAAAATGTTTATATCATACAAAGAATTAAAATGTAACATAGTAAATTTAAAATCTATAACTTCAAAGACAGAGAGCTAAAATAAATAACATACAGTAAAAACAAACTTTATTACAAATTGCTGAACAATGCTATATTTCCTCAACAGAAAAAGTCAAACTGATTTTATACAAAGTTAATGTAGGCAGCTTTCATAAGTGACTATAAAACAAAAAAAAATGTTAACTAACAATAGAAAAATCAATTTTCAGCAGCAGAGATACCTCTTTTTTGGATACTGAAGACAATAATCCAACAATTAGAAAATACATATAAACAGTAAAATGTAAACCAAAAATTGAGATTTAAAGGTGAGGCCCAAAATATAACAAACCATGTTTACCATTAGTGACATGTCTTTTTTAGCCTTATTAAAAAATAATGAAGGTAAATAATAGAACAAGCAAAAATATAAGCAACATTTCTTAGGTTGATGTAATTTTTTTTTACAAATGGTAAAAAAAATGTATGAAGAATAATATTTAAAATAAAGGAAATACCAGAACATAATTTACAATGTACTGAGCATGCAAAAATAGTATTGCAGATACATGTCCCTAGGGACTCAAGAGACACTCTAGATAAGGCTGAACCTTCATCTGCATGCAATTGAATTTGTTTCAAGAGAACAGCAAAATATCATATTTCATTATCATATTATCATTGTGGTTCATAATCAAATAAATTACATTTGATCTGGTGACCATTTTACTTTGGAAATACCACAGAAAGATGGGGTGATGCACAATGATATACTTAAAGGGTACCTACACTTTTGTGGGGGAAAAAAATTAGCAAATAAAAAAATAATAATATAGCATTTACAATTGCGACTCAAGTCATAATGTAATGGAATGTTATTAAAAATTACCTTTACTTTTCAATCTGCATCTGTCATTTTCTGTAAAATGCAATGCAATATCGCTTTCTGGAGGTGTTCTGTACACACAGATGGTGTACAGAACACCCTCTGAAAACTTAATTTCCTGCTTGTGTGATTGGCTTACTGATTTCCCCAGAAGTCTGCAATAAGATACAAGTCAGATTTTTGGCATCTCCTGCAACAAAAATGTAATATTTGGTGAAATGCTCCTTATGGGAAATCATATCTAAAGAGATGCAGACCTTGCCCATTTCCTCATTAGAACCCTGCAGGTGCAGCAGCTGTCTGACAATTATAAAACCACTACCATACAGATTCATTCTTCACATAGACATAGACAAACAAACAGCTATTTCTTCAGAATAAAAATGTAGGAATCGGCAACAAAGTTTGTTAAAATCCCTGCAATATATATATATCGCCCAGAGGGGAATGTTTTTTTCACAACAAAAGTGGAGTTACTCTTTAAAATGGGAATTATACCTTTATTGGAGCAACCAAACATGATACACTGGGCCTGATTTATTTTTTATAAACGAAAAGCAGGTTGGTTTATATTATGTAAGGGCAGTGTGATGTGTTGTTACCACGTATCACACTATTTACTCTTTTTTCCTTCTTTAAACTTTATTAACCACTTGCCCTGCAGAGGATATAAAACCCCCTTCCTGACCAGGCCATTTTTTGCGTTACTTTAACTGACAATTGTGCGGTCATGCAACGTTGCACCCAAATTAAATTGATGTCCTTTTTTTCCCACAAATTGAGCTTTTGTTTGGTGTTATTTGATTGCCTCTTTGGTTTTTATTTTTTGAGCTATATACATAAAAAACTATTTTGAAACCCCCCCCATTATTTTTGACTTTTTGCTATAAAACATATCCAGTAAAAAATTGTTCATAATTTAAATTTTTTTCATAACTTTAGGCCAAAATGTATTCTGCTACATGCCTTTGCTAAAAAAAAATCCCAACACGTGTAAATTAGTTGGTTTATGTGAAAGTTACAACGTGTACAAATGGTATATATGATGGAATTTTTTTTTTATACTAGTAATGGCGACGATCAGCGACTTATAGCGGAACTGCGGCGGGCATTCTGACACTGGGGGGAACTAACTGCCACTGATATCCCCACTGACACTAATACAGTGATCAGTGCTAATTAAAAGCACTGACACTGTACTAATGACACTGGGCAGGAAGGGGTTAACATCTGGGGCGATCAAAGGGTTAACTGTGCTGTGTGTGTTTCACATTATGTGCTGTGTGCTGTACTTTACTGTGTAAGCATGCTGCTTTGTTTTGCTCTGCTATGCAGAGCAATACAAAGCAGCATGCTGGTGCTGACAGGGGAGAGAAGTGTATTGTTTACATACAGACCTCTCCCCTGTCAGTGTTACTCGGCGATCGCTGGGTGCTGGCAGGGAATCTCCAGCCAGGACCCAGTGATCGACAGCTGTAGCCACCAATGGCGGTGCACCCCCTGCCTGGAAATACAAAATCACGTATATATGTGTGATTTTGCGCAGCCCTGCCGTCATGTAGCAGTAGTTGTGCTATAGGGCGGTCGGGAAGCGATTAAAGTCTCAAAATATGATCCTTCAATCATCTCTATGCACCACAATGCATTGCAACATGCAGCAATGAGTTGCACTATGTATTTCATTTTACACAACACACAGTGCTGCACCTGTATGGTGGTAAACAGGGAGAAAACAATAGTTTTCTATGTGTCCTCGGAGGAGTCTGCATTGATCTATTTAGATCCACACAACTCAATGGATATGCTGTGAATGAGCCCTAAATCGGGAAGAAATATTTTTTTTATTCAGGGTATGCCACCACTTAGCTGGTGTATGTTCAGATCCTGGAGCATGTGCTGCTTAGCAAAGAACATTTTTAAAGCTGGATTCACGCTGTTGTGTTACAGCAATGCATGGCAACCTATATTATTCACTGGGTATTAAATGTAGTACATGCACCTTTGTTGGGTGTGTTTTGGTGCTGTAGGCAGACCAATGGGCTGCCTCAGCACAATGCACATTACCGCATGTGCTTTAATGTACAGGGGGCCCCTAGTGAATTAGCTGGTATGTACAATATCTTAGCTGTGAGCATTTCTATAAGCATCATATGTGTATACTAAATGTTGTAAGAGTATGCTTTGGTTCTTTTCTTTGGCTTTGCAACTGGGTTTGCAGGTGCATTGATACATATGTACTTTTTTAAAAAATAAATCAGGCCCAATGTTTCAAAGGCAAAAAACCCTTTTTGTTTTACCTATTAAAGGGCATAGGGCATAATGATGTGTTTAGCCGCTTCAATAATCTGTAGACTCTTACTTAAAGAAGTATAGCCAAAGTTTTTTTGGCTATACTTCTATGGATCACAGGAGTGCAGATAGTGCTGACCCGTTTCAGCCAACAGCAGACTAATGCAGGCCATACTTGGGTCGAATTCCGAAAGATTTTTCGTCCGAAAATCGAAAATGTTGTTCACTCGGTAATCCGATGGTGCCATCAATGATTTTGAAAATAGGCCAACCAAGTCATAAAGTTCATCCCATATAACAGGCAAAAATTCTGTTCCTTCCAGGTCACGGCTCATGCGCATATTCTTTTCGGAAAAACAATTGTACGATTTGACCCATCATAGAGTCGAAAATTGGCCGTGTTTCATGGATTTTCCAACATGCCCGATCACCGAAAAGGGGAGGAACCACGAAAATCGTCCGGGGCCATTGACCCACTAACAGAGCGAAAATCGTCCGATTATTCTTGGTCGAAAAATCAGTCAAATTTTGACCCATTTATGGCCGGCCTAAAGCCTGCTGTTAGCTGATGTCATAGAGGTGGTACAGGCTCTGGTAAGATCACGACCTTGACTGGCACCTGGCTCAGCCTTACAGCAATCCACTAAGAGCCTGAGCCAGCCCCTTTACACCCCAGCACTCCACTGAGAGCTGGAGGTGCAGAGCAGAGAGCCAGAGACTGACAATCCCGGCTCTCTGCTCAGAGCAGAGGGGGAGAACTGAGCGATCAGTGATGTTTGATTGCTCAGTTCTCACTACAGAAACAGCAGGGGACAGATGCAGCATCGGATTGATGCTGCATCCACCTAAGTAAGTATCAATTTTTTTCCCCAGTCATACTTCTCTTTTAAATGTATTATTGTGTTCCACTTCAGCTCTGCTTCAGCCTACATTTAGGGCCTGTGTTAACAGGGTTTTGTTTGCTCAAAGCTGATTTTGCATTCTCATGCAAATCTATCAGAATGCAAAACTTGCTTCGAGTAGGTCAGAAGGAAGGTCAAATACTGAGTGGTTTTAGAAGCAGCTCAAACTGATGTCAATGGATTGACACAAGTCAAAAGCCTCTCAACACAGGCCCTTAAATGACAAGTTCACCTTTGGAACATGTTATTTGTTTCACCCATTTTTAGGGTGGAACATGTAACATGTTCCCATAGCTTCAGCCGCGCCCGCTGCCCCCCCATCCCTCTGACAGATAGTACGAGGAGAAGTCTCCCTGTACTATCTGTCAGATTTGAAAACAGCGCAGCTGTGCGGGGCTCCACCCACACGGCCGCGTTACTCATTCACAGAGTTCTGTGAATGAGTGCCTACAAGTCACGACAGCCTTAACGGCTGTTAGCTTGTAGTTTTAAATTAAT